GAACCCCTGTTAAAAAAAAAAAAAAAAAAAAGTACCAATAAATGCTTTGCTAAAAAACAAAAACATAATAATTTTAGAGTCTAGGATTTGAAACCTCTGTGAAAAAAATCCATATAGCTAATCTGTACAAAATGTACTCTGTGCATCTTACAAAAATCTGTTAAAGATGGCTTACATCTCTAGCTACACTTGTAGCTAGACTGGGGCAGGCCGTCTGTCTCATTTACTTCTTGAAGTACTGGGGACTGAACTCAGGACCTCTACACTAAGCTACATTTCCAGCCCATTTTTATTTTGAAAGAGTTACTACACTGCCCAGGCTGGGATTGAATTTGCAAGTCTCTTAGCTTCCCAGAGGGCTGGGATTACATACAGTCATGTGTTAACACACCCAACTGTCTCCTTTTTTATTGGTAGTGATTATCTCAGTATTATAATTATTCTCAATAATAAAGTCATTTATCATTTAAATTTTTATATTTTAAAATACTTTTGCACAAAGAAAAGTGTGATATTCAGGAAAATGCTTAAGGAGTGGTTAATTCTGTGATAAGGGCATTGCAAATTTAATTTTCCTTCATTTGGCTTGTTTCATTGTATATTTTGAAGGCTTATGATTTTTAATTAGAAAAGAGTTATTGGGAAATAGTTTTTCCCCATCAGAAAAACAATTTTGTCCTATTAACCTTTGCACTAAAAATACTGAAATGTATTTATTCTAGCTATGGAGCTTTCTGTTCTTTTCTACAGTATTAACATTTAAAATATCAAGTATATTAGGAACAAGCATTATAGAGCAAATATATCAATTAAAGATACAAATCTTTCAAGACCCAACTACAGAAAAAGTAAACCAAACCTTTGTTTTGGCTCCTGTATGGTCAATTTCCTCTTCTGGGGTATGTTCAGCATGACCTTTTTGATTACCTCCTTCTTCTTGGTCAACCTGCATTTTATCCTACCAAGAAAATATGTAACTGATAATTTATGTCATCTCTTTTTAAAAAAATTAAACTGCATCTTAGAATTTAAGCCTGTTCTGGGATATATGAACACAGTAGAGGCTTATGTTTTAGATGAGATTAACAACAACAAACAGATTAACAGGTAAGTAAAATAAAAATATCTATATGATGTTGTGTGAATAAACCTTGTTTCATTTACCTGTGACCAAATAATTGCAAAATACAGAAAGCCGTCCTCAAACTTACAAATCAAGATTTATAAAAGGAGGCTTACAAAAAACCTGTCCAAGTTGATATGAAAACCATTTATAAAGATCTTAACATTGGAAAATAAATTTAAGAAAAAATTTTTGTTTTAAAAATTCAATTATATATTTTTTAAAAGAGTAAAATACTGAAGGAAATTCAAAACTGGCAGAGGAGATGTTTCTGATATAAACTTTAAACTTTTAACCAATAAAAACCCCCAAATTGACTATTTGGCAAACAATCTTTAGTAATACATTTTTTGGACACTTAATCCTATCCACCACTATTCTCCTGAAAAAAAGAAAAACCTAAATACAGGAATCAGAATAAATTATATATTCATCTTCAGTTATACTGTGAATTAAGTAAATATGCAATACCTGAAACTTATCTTGAGTAAATGTTCATTTGTGCTAAAGAGAAAAATAAAAGGCTAATTCTTTGTAGTTAAAATAATTAATTCTGATATTCTAGCTTCTTTCACCTCCCTAAACCCTGTTAACGGACAAGAGGTTTAAAAAAAAAGTGATAGTGAGTTGGGGTCATGTATTAACTCTTATGTATTATTAAGGAAAAAATGCTGTCAAATGGACATAATGCTTTATCATTTATAATTTTAAATTTATTCAAAGAACTTTTCTATTGTTTATGTATTTGTACGTTTTTCGTATGTACAAAAAAACCCCACAAATAAGGTATTTCTAGAACTTTTTTACATGTAGAATCTAAACTGTTCTCAACCACTTAATTAGTTGGTAATGTTTTTTTCTATCTAGTATCAACCTCAGTGCCAGCAGGATTTGTGAGCCAGCATTTGTTTAAAAAATGGATCTTATGTTTTCTTACAAGCTATTGCCACTTATTCTGCAAGTTTTAAAATTTTGTTTTACCAGAAGAAAGTCAGTTAATTGTTTTCAGGCAACAACCAGGACTTGTATTCCTTCCTTAAATGGTCCAAAGGAAGACCATTCCAACTGCCTACTTATGTATTCCTTCCTTGAAATGGTCTGTAGGATGATGTAGTTGCAACTGCCTCATTGTGCTACTAGGAATAACAATCATACTCACATATGTACTGGTTCTGAGAACTGTTATGTCTACTGCCGTTGGTGAATATAAAATGTTATCATTTGCAGTGATTAACCCATCACGATTTGATTACTGTTTTTTTTGAGACAGGGTCTCACTATCCTATGTAGCTCAGGCTGGACCTTAACTCAGATCCTACTGCCTCAGCCTGTAGAATGCCAGATTATAAGTATGCATCACCATTCCCAGCTCTAATTTTGTATATATTTAAAAGTAGATAATTGCAATCTTATAACATATGCACGTGTGTAATGATGTGTTAATGCCTTATTAAAATGACTTTAAAAGAATATTAACAATAGTAGTGAAATTAATGGAATAGACTATAGTAGACTCTGGCTTCTCTGACTGATTTTTAACCCGTGAGAGGTGAAACTATCTTTCAACTTCCTGCCGTATCCAACCATATATTTTAGGTGCTCATCATTATTTACTGAATAAAATAAAAAGCACTTGTGTATATGATCCAGAATCATTATTGTAAACTACAGGCTTTCACTGATTTGTTCCATGATCTACTTTTTCAATTTCATTCTTTTCTTGCTAAATTTCCCCTTCATTCATACCAGCTACTGTTCTTTTTGTTACAAGAATAAAGAACTTCCTGTCTCCTGGTCTTTGTGCTTGTTATTCCCTCTGCCTGGACAACTAAGTATCCCCTCCCTCCTTATCCTCAAAATGTGTTTTTCGTCTTTCAGGCTATCTTAACCTACTACATGGCTTTCTTCATCATAATTCCCACTGTGCATCCCCATTCATTTCTTTTATATGATATTTTGTTACTTTCTTGCCTGGAGTTTTCCGCTAGAATGTAAGTTACAGATGTAGAAGGACCTTTTCTATCTTGTTTATTATTGTACTTGAAATGCCTAGAAGAATCCTCACTACACATACTCAAGTATTCTGAATTAAAAAGTAGATAAAAAGCTCAGATAGTAATTAGGAAACAAAACAGTGGTAGATTAGCATGATGAACAGAATGCTTTCTTTGGTTTCTGGTGTTATGCAGTCTATGATGTGATAACTTCTTAATAGACCCAGATATTAATATACACCAATAAGAAAGGTGTCAATTTTTTCAGATATTCTTATACTAAAGTAGACATATTTTCAGGAACATCTAACTACCTTAATTTTGAATGAAAAAATGAGACACATAAAGTAGTCTTTCATAAATTAACTCTCATCGGGAAAAGGCTCTTACTATGTCAGAGCTAGCAATGTTTAGCAGTAAGGGGAATATTAACAACTTAATACCTTCTTATTTTCCCCTCTAAAATATAAACAGTTTCCATAGTCTATTCTCAATTAGTTCATGCTTTGGGAAAAAAGAAAATGGTAACTTTATGATCTTTAAGCCTTAAGCCTTTTTTAAACCTTTGGATACAGAATTAAAGAGAAAAATTCTACAGAGAACCATTAAGAAATAAAGGACACAAGGTATTTTCTACACATGTGCTAATATTAGCTCTTATATTAGAAATGATAAGGAAATAAAAAACAACTTACCCAGCACCTATTTTATCAGCTATGGTAGTGATTTAAAAGAAGATAATATATGTGTGATGTACTTACCACAAATGCTTAAGTATACGATCCATAATATTAGTTACCCCTTTTCCTTGATTACATAAATTATAGAAGGAGTATGTAGGAATATCTTATCTACCTGTAAATTCTTATATGAAAACCTTAACTACCTGGAAATGTTCTAGTCAACCCTGTGCTCACTTTGGCAGCACATATACTAAAATTGTTCTAGTCAACCCTAAACACTTCATCCCAAAACATTAATCCAAAACAAGTATCTGAGTGGCTAAAGTAGTTATCACTAGTCCATGTACATTTTTTTTTTGGTACCGGGGATTGAACTCGGGTCCTTGCGCTTGCAAGGCAGGGCACCGAACCGCTGAGCTAAATCCCCGGCCCCCGTGTACATTATTTATAGGCAAGTCTTTTAAGTTTCACATCCAGAAAGTATCCTAAAGTACTGGTTAACTGGATTTCCACTTCACAAACAGAAGCAGCAAATAAGAAATTTTAAGGAAAATAGGACGGAGTGGGTACCATACTATTCTTACTTTATTTCCTGTTCTCAGGGGTTCACTAACATTATATAGACAAAATTAGAGTGGCGAGAATTACTTAAAAAGGAGGTGAAGAAAGTGAAATGGTTACAAATAACTGATCCTCAAAGGTATACAGAGTACTTTCAACTACAGTAAAAATAAATATTAATGGATTAAATTTATATATCTGACATACATTATTGTGAATTATAATTTTTGTTTGTTTATTTTTTGAGACAGGGTCTCACTTGCAATGTGGGGTGGCCTTGGACTCCTGGTGATCCTCCTGTCTCAGCCTCCTAAGTACTGGGATTAGAGACATGTGCTATTGTGCCCAGCTATTGTGAATTGTAATTTAAAAAATAATAATTTTTCATTATCATCTGCATGTTAATTTTTTAAAAAGTGACTATTTTACTAACAGATTGGGACTTTCCTCTTTATCAATTCAAGTAAGGGATTATGAGATAATACATGGGAAGCATGAAAAAGATGCCATGGTATCTTAAATGAAGTGCTTTATAGGCTAGTGGTTCAATTTTGATCATTGAGAAAAGATTATACAGTACTTATTAAAATTATACAGTACTTATTAAAAATAAAAGACAATCTTCAAAGAAGGGAGAAATCATATTCACCCATAGTTTTCGAGATGGGTTTCACCATATTGCCCAGGCTGGTTTTGGATTAGTGGGTGCAAGTGATTTTCCTCTGAGACTACACAGGCACTTGCCACCATGCCTGCCTTGGAAACTTATTGTTTTTTTCTGTAGTGGGGGTTGAACCAAGAGCCTTGAGCACACTAGGCAAACACTCTCCCACTGAGCTATAACCTCAGGCCATTCTTTTTTTTCTGTACCAGGGATTGCACTCAGGACCTTGCACTTGCCAGGTGCTGTGCCACTGCACTAAATCCCCGGCACCAAACCCATTCTTAATATGAACAAATAGATGAAAAATCTAGGGCTGATTTCCAAATTGGGACTGGAAAAAAATTCAACAAATGCCATTAACAATACTTTACAAAGAGTACACATAAAAATGATGCAAACACATATAAATTTTATGCAATGAAATATAATCAAGTAACCATAACATTCCTTATGCCAAAAGTAAACTTGGTATCACATAACAAAGAAAAAATATAAAGTCAACATTTGATTGCTACAGAATTTATAGCACTCTTCTGTTTAACTGTCATGGACATTCCCTAACTAAACCCTGGGGGAGAGGCAAGTCATACACTTGTATTTTCAGTTTAAAAATATGTGCGTGGATAGTGTATGTGTATAGTGAATATATGTGTGCATAGTTCAAAACTTAATCTGAACTGATTTTAGCTATAGGCTAAAATTCAAGCACTACTAGGGCTGGGAATTTAGCTCAGTGGCACTGTGCCTGCTGCACAAGTACAAGGTCCTAAGTTCGATACCGACCAAAAAAAAAAAAAATCAAGCACTAATAAAACAACACTGCTTTAACGGAAACAGAAACAAAGAACTTGAGATGATTTCAAATTCACATGCTTCATAATGCTAAGTCCCACAAGCCCCTGAAAAGTGTAATAGAGTGTGAAAGATGAAGAGTATTTAAGTAGAATTATTCTTTAATAAAGTGCACACACAGTGGTTCCAGTGCCTGCTTCACAAGCACAAGGGCCCGAGTTCGATCCCTGGTTCCAAAAATTAAAAAAATAAAATAAAATAAAAAAATAAAGTGCACACTGATCATATAGCAGAAATTCAAAGCAAAACCTCAGAAATTAACATACTCAGCTAATAAAAGTACCAATTATAAAATGCTATATAATCATAGTAGCCTTGTGATAGGACTTCTACATACCACATCATCTTTGTTTTCACTCTTAAATGAAGTTTCTGTCTCCATAGGAGCATCACTATATTCCCCTTCCAAATTTTGCTTCTCAATTACTGATGCACTAGCCACACTGAAGATTCCATGGATGTTAACACGAACTTTAACCTTTACTTTGGAATTATCACCATCAGATTGTGCAAAAACATTCTGAATAGTGAAGGTCCCTTAAGGAAAAAAGAGCTATGATCAGTATCAATTTTTATTCAATAATTTGGACTGTCATCTGAAGATGATGGCAAATAAATGTAAAATAGTGATCAGATTAAAATTACTATGGGGCATGCACTTTTCCCAGGGTATCTCTTTCACAGCAAAGCAAACCTGTTATTAACTCTCAGAAAGGTCAAGTAACTTGTCCTAAATCATCAATGCTATGAAAAAAGAGTTGGAATATGATGCTACTTTAAAACCAAAATAACAAAATTCAATTCCTAAACATGAAAACAAAATAGTATTACATTTTTGGTGTTATATTTACAAATCATAATCATCCTGGTAATGCATAAATAAAAAAAGACAAAGACAATTTTGGATTCCTAAGCAAAATTAAAAGAGAGAATGCTACACAAAGAAATTGGGTAGTAAAAAATTTGGCTGACCTTTTTTTGAGTTGTATCCCAACATCACAACATTCATATGCTGAAGTTCTAACCACCCAGTAACTCAGGAGTGACTGTTTATGAAGAAAGAATCTTCAAAGAGGTAATTAAATTGAAATGAGATCATTAGGGTGGGCCCTAATTCAGTGTGACTGATGTCCTTACAAAAGAGAAATTTGAAGAAAGACGCATACAAATGTGAGAGAATGTCATGAGAACATGAAGACGGTCATCTAGAAACCAAGGAGAGTAAACTAGAATGGATCCTTCCTTTATAGCCATCAGAAGAAACCACACTTGCTGATACCTTCATTTCAGAATTCTAGCTTCCACAACTGAGACAATACACAGTCTGCAAAAACAAGTATACATCAGGAAAAGATAAACTTGTATACATATTTTAATAATAAATTTGAGAAATCATGTGATTAATACAGATTACCTTTGACCTCTACAATTACAAGAGGTATCAAAGTGGTAGCCATTAGCTTCGACATTTATTAGTATGGTGAACTGCTTAAGTGTGTATACATTTTTTTTTTTGGCAGACTCTGTATATTTCTATTGTTTAAGTCATCTAGCTTGTGGTACCTAATAACAATCTTACTGAACTAACATAACTTTCAATAACTTCTGCTTTAAACAATGTAGTAGAAAATAATTTAGTCTCCTTTTACTCTATCGGTATTTACACAATTTTAAAATTTAAAAACTGCTTCATTTTAAATGCTATAAAATCATGTTCTGTTTTACAGCATCTGAAATGATTAGTTAAAATGGGTATTATAGTGTCCTGTTCTCACTTTCAGATTATTACAACAATATTTATTATAGCTGTTGCCTGTGAACAAATTTGAAAATCCGAAGTCAGTATGTTAGCACAGTTTGACCTAAGTTTTCCTAAAATATACTCACAAACTTTTTAGATCAATTGTAGAGCATTGTAAATACAGAAATCAAAATGAATTAAGAATAGTCAAAATATGTGCACTTATTCTAGAAATAAAATGGGCACAAAAAAGTGCATATTTAGAGGAAAGTACAACTAACTTTCTTGGAAAATCCAGGGCTGGTTTAGCTGAAATGTCCTGTTTCCTTGATTCTATGTATTATTATTTTTATTTTTTTATTTTTTGGTACCAGGGATCGAACTCAGGTCCTCGCGCTTGTGAAACAGGTGGCAGAACCACTGAGCTAAGTCCCTGGCTAGTCTATGTATTATTTATAAAAGCCAAAAAATTATGGAAATTTTTTTTCTTGACTTTTCTTACCAATTCTTGGATCAGGATAAGGCACTTCATGTAAGTTAGTATAAAATGCTTCTAGTTCAAATGGCTCCTTCTTGTGGAAAGTAATAACTTTTGAGAACGGGGCAGGATGGTTCTTACAGAATACTTCACATTCCCTAAAATGTGGTAGGAGAGACACTCAAACACAAATAGGAAGTTGCTCATGAACCTAATTACAAAATCCATAAATCTTTAATTCACAAGGAGCAATTACAAAGATATCTATGTACAAATGTAAGAAAAAATTACTGATCCTGCTTCAAACATGCATTTTGCCAAGTTTATGGCTCAAAGGTCTCTAAATGTCTATCATAGTAAAACAATTCTATAATACTAAAAACAAACATTTCCTGAGAATATGTGTATTTTAAGGTCAACACGCAGGGTCCTCATACCAGGTTCTGCCCATTAACTTCCAAAAATACTTGCCATATACAACCTTCTTTCATTCTACCTACCTTTTTATTTATTTTTTCTCATTAAGTTTATTGGTACTTTTTAAGTATACAGTATGGTTACATTTATCATTGGGATCTTGTACCTTTACATGACAGATCTTGGTTCTCATTTTTCTCCCCATATCCCTGCCCTCCCTTCATCCCTCCACTCCTCCTTATTTATACGGATTGAACTTGGGTCCTTGTGCTTGCAAGGCAGGCCACCGAACTACTGAGCTAAATCCTCGGCCCAATTTTTTCCTTTTCTCATATTTTTTCTTTTCCCTTCTTTCCTTTCCTTTTTTAACTACTGAGCTAAATCCTCGGCCCAATTTTTTCCTTTTCTCATATTTTTTCTTTTCCCTTCTTTCCTTTCCCCTACCCTTCCCACTTCCTCTACTCATTTAGTCCTTTTCTTCCTATTTCACATTATCAATTATACATTTTGATCCGTATTTACACTTTTAGAAAAGCTATTTGGTATTTACACGTGTGTCCTATTTATTTCACTTAAAGAATATGGCCTCAATATGCATCCGTTTAGCTATAAATGACTTTAGTTTCTCATTCTTTATGACTGAGTAGTATTCCAGCTTAGAGAAAACCCACATCTTCTTTATCCAGTCTCCAGCTGATGGACAATTGGGCTCTTTCCAAGTTTTAGCTATTACAGACTGTGCCACTATAAACATAGCTGTGCATATATCACTGTGATATGATTCTTTTATTTCTTTTGGAAAGATACCCAGCAGAAGGATAGCTGGGTCAAATGGGACTTCTAATCCTAGTTTTTTGAGTTATCTCCATATTGATTTCCACAGTGGTTACACCAGTCTGCACTCCCACCTACAATGGAGAAGGGTTTCTTTCTCCCCATACACTGCTAGCATTTGTTATTGGTTGATTTCTTGATAGCAACTATCTTTCTGGGGTGATGCAGAATCTCAGTACTGTTTTCATCTGCATCTCTCAAATGATCAGTGATGGGCCAGGTGTGGTGGCACACACCTATAATCCCAGCGCTCCGGAGGCTGAGGCAAGAGGATTTCTGTGAGTTTGAGACCAGCCTGGGCTACATAGTGAGAGTTCCAGGTCAGTCTCAACTACATAGTGAGACTGTCTCACCCCCCGCCCCCAACAACACCAAAAAAAAAAACAAAAACAAACCAAAAAACCCAAACAAATGACCAGTGATGTTTAAAATTTTTTCATGTATTTGCTGCTTTTACTTGTTTGGCTGAAAAATGTCTGTTCATTTCAGATGCCCATTTTTAATTGGGTCTTTATATTGGGGGGGTCTTATTTTTTTGAGTTCTTTATGTATTCTAGATAGCAGACCTTGTCTAAGAAACAGCTGGTAAAATTTTTTTCCGACGTTGTAGGTTGTCTCTTAGCTCTGTTGGTTGTTTCTCTTGCAGTGCAGAAGCTTTTTAATAAAAAAGATGGGATCCCAGTTGTTGATTCATTATGCTAGTTCTTCTGCTACTGAAGATTTGTTCACAAAGACTTTTCCTATGCCAGTGTCTCTGAGAGTTCTACCTATCTTCCAGCAAGTTTAGTGTTTAATATTTAGATCTTTAATCCACTTGGATTTTCGTTTAGTGCACGGTGAAAGATAAGGGTCTAGCTTTAATTTTAATCTTTGGCAGGTTGAAATGCAGTTTTTCCAACACAATTTATTGAAGAGGCTATCTTTCGTCCAGTGAGGATGGTTGGCTCCTTTGTCAAAGATGAAGTAGTCTAGCTACTTTAAGACCATTCATTTGGAAATAATTTTAAAGTTACACAGGGTTCAAAAATATAGATAGAACAAGGAACATCTTTTATCTAGGTTTGCTGTAAACATTTTATTCATTGTCTCATCATTTGGAAGCACAAAGTATTTTTTGTGAACCAACTGAAAGAAGTACATACATTATTCTTCTTTCACTTTAAATAGTTCAGTGTGTATTTCCCTGATAGGGATATTTTCCGATAATTTATTATTGATATTCCCAAAATTGTAGTTGATACAACAATGCCCTTGGAAGTATTTTGTATTTCATAATACAAGAAAAGTTTTAAACCCACACAAACTAAAATTCTTCAAACACTGTAACAGAATTGATTTATAACTGTTATTTTTAGTGGCCCATAAACTTACTCTTTACCATTATATATCATCATCTTAATGACTTATTATTTTCCAACTAACTATGCAAGGTGTGAAAAATCTTCACATTTATGAACCTTTTCCTCTGTCCTTATTGTCAAGAGCATAACAAATACCACCTTTTTTTTTTTTTACTATAATCATTAGGATATACTTTTCAATTTAGCTCCCTATATATTTTCTTAACTGAAATTAAACTTCTCAGAATAATACTCACCTTGCCTCAAAACTGACCTTAAAACAAGCCATTCAAATGTTCTTACAAGTCATTTAGATAAAGCTCATAATCCACATTTTAAAAATCTGTACAATTTCAAAAACTCAATTTCGTGGCGATATTGATATACAGAACACAGAACAAAAAAATTGAGAGGAACTTCAAAATGTAACTACAGCTTTAGCCACTTTATAGGATATACTGGTGAAAAGTACGCAAGTAAAATATTCAAACACCAATTTTGATTTTGGTAGGAAAACAAGCTACTTCAGTCGTGGGTAGTGCATTGTGAATAAAATGTAGATGTCAACAAAAGATTTAAGTTTGCAATAATAAGATTTCACTAACCACATGTTACATTTAAAAGCATAGAAGAAAATGAACCAGGACAGGTAATCTCATGAATGTTACACAAATATATATTATCACAGTTTTTTGGTTACTTTAAGTTGGAAATAATAATGTGCATACTCTAGATCAACAATTCTATTCCTACACTGCTTACCAGACACAGCTGGACAAAGATATATGCTCAAATATGTTTCTAATAACATTACTTAAAATAGCAAAATTATTATCTTAGTTAAGTTTATTATAGCATACATAAACTTGAAAAAGTTATTGTCTGTTAACAAGGAAAGGTAATATACAAAAAAGTTTTAAAAGCAAGATGCAGTGGAGATGTAAGATCATGAATATACTGAATAGGTGCATGCTTTTACTTATGGACATTCAAAAACAAGGCCTGTAAAAATAACACTAGCTATTAAAAATGGTAACCTCTGTAAAAACGGGCTATGGCTGCTGGGTACAGTAAATACAGATATTCAAGTTCTAACATTTGTATTCTGTAATTCTCATTTTAAAACAAGCATGTTTTATTTTTATAATAAATATGAACTTATAAATATGCCCATTATGGATCTATCATTTTTACATTCTAAAACTTTATTTTGAAGTATTTGACAAAATTATAACAAGTATAAATGCCTCTAACTTAGAAAAAGTAGGTTAAATTGGTTAAAGATTTATGATAAGCTCTAACGGAGATTTTAAAAATAACTCACCCAGTTCCATCATCAAAAGAGGTCTTCCATCTTAATGTGACTGAATAGGGAATGATGTCTGTTATAGAAAATTCACGCACTTTAAATGCTGGTGAGAGAATTGCACACTGAAAATAAGAAAGAATATCTATTTGAATCAACAGATAACAATCTTATTTAACCCTGACTGAATTGCTTAATGAAGTCCTTCTAGTTAAAACTGTTACATGTAAAAATTCCTGTTTTTTAAGAGCCAGAGAATTTTTGGGGAACCTTATAAAAATTAATGTAACAACATTTTCAAGTCTCCAAAAGGAATTTTAAATGGGCATGATTTCAAGAATTTATAAATGTTCTTTCAGTGTAGATATAAAATCCTATTATAGTTTAAAAATATAAAATGATACAAGAATGTACTAGGAATAACTTCAGTTTACTCTGGCTTATTGATAGGTAATCAAAATATTTGAAAGGCTACTTTAGACCTGTTACCACTTCTAGTAAAGTATAAAGAAAAAGAAACCTGCAATGCACATCCTCTTGCAACAGCTTCATCAGCATTTAAAGTGGTACTTATATCTTTAAGAAAGAACTTCGTAATCTGTTCCTTCACTGCAGGAATTCGTGTTGCTCCTCCTACAATTTCTATACTACTTATGTCTTCACGTTGTAGGTCTGGAAAATAAAATATTTTTCAGAGAGGAAAATGTGATAATCCTGAAAAGTCTATGAACAGTAGGCTTTGGAATTTTTTTTGTTTTGGTGGGCAGGGTTTAAACAGCATCTTGTGATGTAGCTCAAATTGGCCTTAAACTATGTAGCCCAGGCTGGCCTCATACTTCCAGTGACCTTCCTGCCTCAGTCTCCCAAGAGCTGGGATTACAGAGGTATGCCTCCACTCTGGGAGCTGCAAAGTATTTTTTTAAAGGTGGATTTTTTAATATGTACAAAAGAAGATAAAATAGACAAAAACAAAATTTCAAAATATTCCAATTTAATAAATATTAATTATGTATGACATAGGCACTGGACTTGGTCCAGACTCTTGGAGTAACATTAGGGACCTCCTGAATTTTAAAGAATCTCTTTTAGAGTCCTTCAGTTTTCTTTTAACGCACAAACCTCCACAGAAAGTATTGTTAATTGGTTACTAAAACCATTTTTTTTGTGTGTGTGGCAGGCCTTGTACATTCTAGGTAAGTACTATTACTGCTGAGTCTCAGCCTTTTTATGTTATCCCCGCCCCCCCCCCCGCTTTTATTTTTGGTACTAGGGATCAAACTCGGGACCTTGCACTTGTGAGGCAGGTGGCAGCACTACTGAGCTAAATGCCCGGTATCTTTTAACTTTTTAATCTTGAGGGAGATACATGATAATAGAGATCAAATGGAATTTTTGATTTTAGTTTTTGTGAGAAACTCCATTCTGATTTGCATAGTGATTATAGTAATTTATACTTCCTTTTTCTTATTTGAGACAGGGTCTTGGTGAGTTGTCCAGGCTACTCTTCTGAGTAGCTGGGATTATAGGCATGTGCCATTCTGCCTGGCTTTGAATTCTAAAAGTCATTTAAAAAGCAATCACATCTCCATTTCTACCTTAATTTCATGTCACAATGTTCTAATCTTATAAACACCTCCAAACAAAAGTAGCATAAGCTTTATGATGTAAATAATACTCAAGAAAAAATTCTCAGAAAGCCAGATTTCCAATGCCCTATCTTATGACTAAAGAATTTAATATCCTCTTAAAAATGAGAAATATCTTTTTTTCCCCCAGTACTGGGGATAGAACTCAGGACCTTACACCTGCAAGGCAGGTGTGGTACCACTGAGCCACAAGAAATATCTTTTTAAAGAAAATGAAGTTTTTAATTGTTTTACCACACAGTTCACTTTTGACAGAAATTTCTACTTACTAGCCTGTTCCATTACTGCTCTTAAAGGTGGTTCAACTCTGGCCAAGAGAGAAGCACACAACTGTTCATATTGAGCCCTGTGGGAGGGGGGAAAAAACAACATTGTTTTGGGATAAAAGGTTGAGCATAGTTTCTAAAATACCAGAATAAAAAAGAATCAGATGGGATCTAAACATTATAAAACACTTTTCAAACTGAAAATATACAGGGTACCTGTTCATTTTACTAGAAACATCAAGGTCATTCATGAAACACTCAATGTTCAATGGAAGATCTGATGCATTTGCACTCATTAGCTTCTTTAGTTTTTCACATTCCTGATATAAACGCAACAAGGCCCGAGAGTTTTCTTTCACATTTATCTTATATTTGATCTTGAACTCATCACAGAAGTAGTCTACTAAAGCCTCATCAAAGTTCCTGCCACCCAAATATGGGTCAAAGGTAGTAGCCAAGACCTGTTTAATTGAAAAAGCAGAACTGAATTTTCAGAAACATAGATTAATAAAAAGCAAAAGCAAAACCTCTAATATGATAATAAAAAAATAAACCTAAGAACTCTGAATCACAGTGGTGCCAAATTTGGAATCAGTTTTAGTATCACCTACATTTAGCTAACATATTTCCTTTCTTTCAATTATATGCTTTACAGTTACAGATCTATGTGTCATAACTTAAAGAATAATTCTAATTCTGAAATAATTAAAGTAAAACTTCATTATCTCATGTTCTTTGATTCCATAGTGACACTGTACTAAAAGCCAATTTTTTTTTTTTTTTGGTTTTTTTGAGGCAGGGTCTCACTATGTAGTTGAGACTGACCTGGAACTCACTATGTAGCCCAGGCTGGTCTCAAACTCACAGCGATCCTTCTGCCTCAGCCTCCCGAGTGCTAGGATTACAGGCATGTGCCACCACGTCCAGCCGCTAAAAACCAATTTGAAGAGAGTAAGAAACACGTCTAAGATATAAACAAGAACAAAACATTTAAAAATAGTAGATCTAAAGATTAAATCTAAAATACTGTAAATGTTCCAATATACAAGTCAGTAATTAGGCTTCCTGTTACCTAAAATAAGAAAGAAATAAAACTCTGGCTTATTCTTAAAAAAAAAAAAACTTAAAGGACTACATGAAGTCAGGCATGGTAGTGCATGCGTATAATCCCAGGTACTCAGGAGGTTGAGGTAGGAGAATCAACAGTTTGAGACATGCTGGGCAATATAATGAGATTCCATCTCAAAGGAAGGAGAAAAAAGAATATATGAGATAGCAAAAAAGAAAACAGAAATACAGAGATAGAATTAAATAAGTTCCTTCAGGAGCCAGGCCTATAACTCCAGCATTCGGGAGGATGAGGCAGAAAGATCCCTGCAAGACAGTCTTTATCAGACTTTTGAAAAACTCCATGATCTAAAAATTATACACTACTGAGCTGTTATCTACTAAAATGGAAGGGAAAATACTCTAAATTATGTTATCGAGGCATGGTGGCGCACAACTGTAGTTCTAACACTCAGGAGGCTGAGGCAGGAAGATCACCATGAGTGTGAGGCCAGCCTGGACTACATAGTGAGTTCAAGGACAGCCTGAACTACACAACAAGACCTTGTCTTAACCCCCTACCCTGGCAAAAAGTTAAAATGTCAGGCTAAAGACAAAGGAATAAACCTATTTATACTTAAAACAAATAAACAAACACCCAAAGCAAACAAACAAACAAAAAAACAACTCCCCTGAATTCAGCATGAGTCATTTCCCTTTAATGTTCTACAAAGGGCTCTTGCAGAGTTGGATAAACCAAAGCACGTTATCTTCTCAGTAAACTCTACTCATAATGCATGGTGGAGAGAGCGTAAGTGTAGACAAATAGTCCATACTTTCACAATAATAAAAATGAACATAAAACTAAATATAGACCATAAAAACACAAACACATAGAAGTAAATGCTACATTGTACAAAATTTTTAATTAGGACTCCTAGAAAGACTTTTAAATAATATGACTCATTTTAGAAAATGTTTCCTGTAAGATTATGTATGCTCCCTGGTAATTGATTTAAAACCTAAGAAAAACAATAAAAATAGCTAACAAATATTATAGCAAGTATTATATGCTAGGCATCCCAAGCATTTTATGTACATTAACTCATTTTTCCTCAAAAAATTCTAGTAGATAGTTTCTGATATTATCCCCAGAAAAGGAAATTTAAGATTTAGGGAGGTTAAGAAACTTGCTCAAGGTCAATTTTTAAGGGGCAGAGGCAAGGTTAAAGCCCATGTACTAAGGTTCTCTATATAGTCTGTGCTCTTAATAAGTTAAATATAGTAATCACTTATTTACTTACTTTAAGTTTTCCTTTGTTAAAAGCACAAACTGAGACCTGATAGGCAGAATGTCCCATATCAATAAATACTACATTTCTTGGTTTCTCATCTAACGAGGGCAGATCCTGTTTATAAATTCCATATGCTAGTGCAACTGCGTAAGAACAAAGAATCAGGTTAATTCTAGTATCACAATTACTTGGAAAACAAGAGATAAGTTGCTTTAATACTGTACTGTACTTTAATACACAGTACAGTAATATAATTATTAGTTTAAAAGTAAATTCACTTTTCATAGTTTTTTAATGTCCTACTCATCTTTAAGTCTATAATAGTAAGTACTCTTAATAGTCAACAAGACATATTTAACTTCTTCCAAAACGTTCTACTACAAAGCAACAAGCTTACAAGAACCAATACACAGTAAGAATTAAAAATAACTATATTATTAGATAGAAAAAAACCTTTCTGATAGTAATTCTCTAAACTCTGGCATGCTTACCTGCTGTAGTTTCATTCATTAGTCTTAAACAATTTAAGCCTGCAACCTGGGCTGCAGCCAGTACAGACCTTCTCTCAGCATCAGTAAAAAAGCTAGGAACCTGATATATAAAAACAATAAGTTAGTTTGAGGTAACACATTTACTTAAATATTTCATCAAAGAAAAATGTAAAATAATTGCACTAAAACTTATTTAAGTTTTAGGCAGAGAATGTTTTAATTAAATAAAAATGTTTTAACCATTTAAAGTAAACGGCAGAATTGCCATTTAAAGTTTGCTTAATCTAAACACTTCTCATATTATTCTGGTTGCTACGTTTTTTGTTTTTTTTTTGGTACCAGGGATTGAACTCAGGTCCTTGTGCTTGTGAGGCAGGTGGTGGCACCACTGAGCTAAATCCCCAGCCCTGGTTGCTAGGCTTTGAATAGTGTTTGTTTCCCTGAAGACTCACATATTAGAAGCTTGCTTTTCAGTGTGGCTCTTTTTCAGTGTAACTCTTAACAGTTGAGCTAGTAGAAGGTTCTCAGGTCACCTGGGGGCCACTGCCTGGAGTGGACCCCAATCTTTTGACTTCCTGTCTGGCAATGTCCCACACACATTCTTGTCATAATACTATTATTAGACCCTTATTATTAAGAGGCTAAATTAATGTGCCCAACTGATCTTGGATTTTCAACTTCCAAATCTTGAGCTAAATAACCCTATTTTCTTTATAAAGTTATTCTATCTCACATATTTTGATAATAGTAATGAAAAATAGACTAACACTGAACTATTAGAAAATGTCAGTAATAATGAAAAAGTGAAAACCTAAGACTGCTAAAATGTGATTAAATACAGTATATATTCATATAATGGTATCCTAATGTCACTGTCAGAATTAGGTAGATCTACATTATCATGGAATAGTACATCATATTAGTACAGTCATGTATAGCATAATTTCATTTTTTGTATGTATATACAACTAGAAAAATAAAATCCCAACTGTTTAAAGTGGTTAAATTTCCAAAAAAGTAGAAATATGTATTGCATGTATTTATTTTATAATCATTAAAAAATTAACTATTTCCTCTAAAAATTAAGTACTCAGACTTAAAGCTAATATTCATCTATACTTGTTTCTGTCAAAGAAAGCAGTTCTTTCAGCCTACAAATTTCTACAAAACTAATTATTAAGTATAGTCATGCACAGGATAACTTAAGGCCCCCCTCCAATTGTAAATAGTCTCCTCAAATGTTTTGTTTTTTGATTTCAAAAATTTCATTCAATATATATTAACACTAGGAAAAGAACCTGAATTTTGTTTGATAAGCTTGCTTATCCTGATCTGGTATTCTCCTTAAAAAAATCTTAAATTATAATTTATGGTTTATCTAAAATTCATTAAACTTATGAACCAAGTAAGTTTGTATTTACTAGGGATCTCGTAGGGCACAAAACAAAATATTTGTCCTTGTAGAGCTCCAATGGGTCAAATACACCAACCACAAAGTTAGTCACAGTTGAGAGTTCTTATTACTGTGTTCTGACACTAATTTCTGACATGAAAACAAAAGCAAGGTTAAACAGGGAAAATATGAAATTAAGATGGATTTTTAATTTTTATCATTTGACATAAACATTCAGGTGACAGTGTAATCAAAGTCACAAACATGAGCTTGAGTATGAACTATATCCCTCAAATTTTTAACTTGCAAAACTGAAGTTAATAATATCTTTGTCAGTGATTCTGAAGATTAAATGGGTTAATACATACAAAATGCCTAAAACAGTACCTAGTCAATGGTAAACTATTATTTACATTACTAGGTGGATAAAATAATGAAGCTTTATGCTTTTCTCCCATTAAACATTCTTTATGCCAGTGAATTACTAAATTCCAAATGCCAATGCATTACTAAATTCACTGAAGAGTTCATGATTCTTTTTCTCATGACACGAGACTCTTATGTAGTAATATATCCATATTAACACAACATTATGTAATTTAAATATTAGTTGACAATATTCAGTGGAATGTCAAGAGACAAGCTAAGTAATCAAATGTTTTGTTAAAGACCCTTTAAAAAAAGATCTTTTTTCTGACATAGGATTTATAGAACCTCAGATTCCCAAATGGAAACTGTATACTCTACCAAAAAATATTAAAATTCTTGGAGGTGGGAAGGTAAGTGCTACTTAGTAAGATTCTTATGTAAGTGATGGGTGTGGTGAAATAGCCACTAAGAATTCACATAGTCAGATTTGCTGATTATCACAATAACTTATGGTAATTTGAATCAGAAATTTTTTCCCGAGAAGGTAATTTTTTAAAAAAGAAAAATTCTAAATTAAGTTAGGCTATTTGGTAGATAGGAGACGAAAGTATAAAGGGAAGAAATGAATTACTATATAACATGAATACAGTGGATGATATGATTTACTGAAGTAAAACTTACTGAAATCACACAATCAGCTACTGGTTTCTTTAAAGCATTTTCTGCAATTTCTTTAAGCTTGGCCAACAGCATTCCAGTAACTTGCTCAATTGCAAAAGGTCTCTCTTCTTCTAGGTACTGCACCTAAAATCAAAGGTAGAGATTGTCATTTATTCCATTCATCAAATAAATATTTAGTGACCTTGTGCTTTATATGTAGTAGATATACAACAGTGAAAAAGATAAAATCCTGGGCTCAAACTTTCATACCAGAAAAAATTTAAAGGATCATGACCTAAATGATAACACTTATAACACCTCTCATTTCTGAGGGTCCATTATCTTACAACCAATAAAATTACTGTCAAGTGTCTCTAATCTTTTATCCTCCACTTTATACAAAAGCAATTTTTATAATTTATTCTCCAAATGTGATACAATAAACAATGAAGGAGAAAAAGTCTCAATTTTTCTTTTGAAACTTTTAACTCTGTGGGTTTAAAATAAAAGCTTTATAGTCATTGGGGAAAAGGAAATGAAAATATCAGAAAAATATTTTCTCTTCTTTTTTCTTTTTTTTTTCAGCTTTAATTGAGTTTATTGGTACATTTTAGGGATACAGTACAGTTACATTCATTGTTGGGATCTTGTACCTCCACATGACAAGTCTTGATTCTCATTTTTTCCCCTTACCCCTGCTCTCCCGTCACCCCCTCCTCCCCTCCCCATCTACAAACACTTTATTTTCATCTTTTCATTATCTCATATTTTTTTCTTTTCCCTTATTACCCTTCCTCTACTCATCCCACTTTCCCTCCATCTTTAACCCTTTTCTTACTATTTCACAGTGTCAATTATCTCATTAGGATCTTATGTACTATTATAGTTTTTCATACCAGAGAAACTATTTGGTATTTACACGTGTGACTTATTTATTTCACTTAGGAGAATACCCTCAATATGTATCCATTTTCCTATGAATGAATCTAATTTCTCATTCTTTATGGCTGAATAGTATTCCATTTTATAGAAAAACCACATCTTCTTTAACCAGTTTCCAACTGATGGGCAAATGGGCTGTTTCCAAGTTTTAGCTATTACAAACTGTGCCGCTATAAACATGGGTGTGCATACTTCTCTGTGATATGATTCTTTTAGTTCTTTTGGAAAGATACCCAGCAGAGGGATGGCTGGGTCAAATGGAACCTCCAGTCCAAGCTCTTTGAGGTATCTCCATATTCATTTCCATAGTGGTTGCACCAGTCTGCACTCCCACCAACAATGGAGAAGGGTTCTTTTCTCCCCACATCCCCGCCAACATTTGTTATTGTGTTCAGGACCTTGCACTTGTGAGGCAGGTGGCAGCACCACTGTGCTAAATCCCTAGCCCAGATTTTCTTAAATTTAACATACATAACTCCAAAATTTCTAGGGACAACTATAAATTAATATAAAATTAAATATGAAATTTAAAAGTTACTTTAGAAAATGTCACTTTTTTTCTGGCCAACCTATCCCTTGATGGGTTAGTTTTATTTAAATAGATTACAGTTTTTCTTATTAACACTATAAAATGTTTAAAGAACTGCTACATTTTACAAACTATGCTGCTATAAACATTGGGTGCACATTTATCACTGTGGATGATTCTTTTAAATCTTCTGGGAAGATACCCAGCAGAGGGATAGCTAGGTCAAATGGAACCTCTAATCCTAATTTTTTGAGGCATCTCCATATTGATTTCCACAGTGGTTGTACCAGTCTGTACTCCTTCCAACAATGGAGAAGGGGCTCCTTTCTCCCCACAACCTTTCCAGCATTTGTTATTGGTTGATTTCATGATAGCAACCATTCTTTTTGGGGTGAGGTGGAATTTCAGTGTTGTTTTCATCTACATCTCAAATGACCAGTGATGTTGAACATTTTTTCATATGTTTATTTGCTGCTTTTACTTGTCTGAGAAATGTCTGTTCATTTCAGATGCCCATTTTTGAGTTGGGTTTGATTTTGTAAAAGTTCTTTATATATTCTAGATAGTAGTCCTTTGTCTGAGGAGTAGCTGGTAAATTTTTGCCCCATAGCTCTGTTGGTAGTTGCTTTTGCACTGCAAAAACTTTTTAATACAATGAGATTCCAGCTGATTTTTTGGGCAAGTTCTTATGCTGTTGAGGATTTGTTCATAAAGTCTTTTCCTATGCCAATGTCTTTGAGAGTTCTACCTAATCTATTTTCCACTAAGTGTTTCTGTTTTGATATTTAGATCTTTAATCCATTTGGATTTTAGTTTAGTGTATAGTTAAAGATAGGGATCTAGTTTTAATCTTTGGCAAGTTGAAAGACAGTTTTCCAACACCATTTATTAATGAGGCTATCTTTCTTCCAGTGAGGATGGTTGGCTCCCTCATCAAAGATGAAGTAGCTGAGTATGTCTGGAGTTATTTCTGTATCTCCTAATCTATTCCACTGATCCTCAGGTTTGTTTCTTTGCCAGTACTATGCTGTTTTTTTTTTAATCACAGTGGCTTTGTAGTATAGTTTCCAGTTTGGGATTGTGACACCCCCTGTCATATATCAACACGGCTGATTTTTCAAATCCTTTTGAACTAGCTTACAGATACTATGAATGCACAAAACTTATATCACTTAAAAAATTAAGTCTTGGTAGTCTTTACAAACATTATTGTAGCTAGGTGTGGTGGTGCACACTTGGGAGGCTGAGGCAGGAGAACTGCCATTGGGTTCGAGGCCAGCCTAGACGACATAGTGAATTCAAGGCCAGCTTGAACTACAGAGAAACCCTGTCTCAAAAACAAAACAAAACAAAACAAAACAAGATAAACAAAAAACACATCTATCCTGTTTTCTCCAGCCCAATGACAAAGCATGAGCAATATTTTTTTCATTTAAAGAATAAAATCAAAAGAATATAATTAGGTTAAATTTTAACCTGGAATAAAACTGCACAGGTAATCACTAAGCAGGCCTTAAAAGATTTAAAGGATATCTGAATTTATTTTATGTCTCAGTTTTGCTATCATAACCCACCCAATAACCTAGCTTCCTAGGTTGTAACCCTCCTATATGTGCAAATGTTTGCCTAAAATACAGCTTTAGCATTTGTTTTGTTTTTGACTTATCTTACTATGCACAGCACACATGTATCAAGCTGAAAGTTAATTCTTAAAAATAGCTTTACTGAGATACAACAATTCACACAGCATAAATGTATCCATCTGGAAGTGTATAATTCAGGTTTTAGTATGTTCACAAAATTGTACACTAATCAATACCATCTAATTGAGTATATTTTTATCATCCCCTCAAAAATTCAGTACACATTAGCTGTCATTCCCCATATCCCCTTCCCCTTAACACACAGCATCCACTAATTTGCATTCTGCCTGTAAAATTTGCTGTATTTTGAACGTTCCAAACATACAGAATATTATATGTGGATTTAAAGAATTGTATTAGTACATGTTTGCAATGCATACTGGATATATTCATTGTGAGGAGTTTGTACATGCACATGTTGCATGTTAATCCTTTTTACTCTCTTCCCCTCTATTCCTCCCCTCCCTCTGTGATAGTTAACTGTGTCAACCTGAGTAAGAAATGCCCAACTATATTGGATTAGCATAGCTGTGGTGTGGCTGTGAGGATTTACTGAAACCCAGATAGGTTTATCATCAAAAAGGATAGCAGGGAAATAAAGAAGGAAGATTGCTTTCAGTTTCTTTGGAGGCACTCCAGTTTTCACCTTCACCTTGCACAATGTCTCCTAGTTTCCAGCACAGACTCTTCAGCCTTCCAGTGCAGAACCTTTAGCCTTCCTGATATACACTCACACAGGACATTACAGTGTCGTTTAATTACAGGCCTTTGAACTTGACTGGATCCTTCAGCTCTCAAGTGTGCAGACAGCCTTTTTATAGTCTTTCACACCTGACTCTGTGGGCGGCCATTATAAGCCTACCTTGTCAGCACTGAGACTGATACAACCTCCAACCCTAGGACCCCTTCCCACTGGTACAAGGTCTATCCCTCTGTTTCCTATCTTTTTTTTTTTTTTTTTGAGACAGGGTCTCACTGTGTAGTTGAGACTGACCTGGAACTCACTATGTAGCCTAGGCTGTTCTCAAACTCACAGCGATCCTCCTGCCTCAGCCTCCCAAGTGCTGGGATTATGGGCATGTACCACCATGCCAAGCTCCTATTATTATTTTTTTTTTGTTTTGAGACAGGGTCTCACTATGTAATTCAGGCTGTCTTTGAACTCACTATGTAGCCCAGGTTTGTTTTGAACTTGCAGCAATTCTCCTGCCTCAGCCTCCCAAGTGCTGGGATCCCTGGCATGTGATCCCAGATATAATTTCTTTTAATTTGCTCTTTAAAATATTTATACTTTGAGTTTCTCACATGTTATATTTAACTGTGTCTTACTTCACTTAGCATGATAATCCCAAGGTATATCTATTTTTTTTACAAATGACTCAAATTGATTAGTAGTCTACTCTGTGTGTGTGTGTGTATATATGTATATGTATATGTATATGTATATGTATATGTATGTGTGTGTGTACACACACACACACACACACACACACACATTTTCTTTATCCATTCATCTGTTGATGGACATATAGGCTGTTTCTAAGATTTAGTTGTTCTGAGTTGTGCTGCTATAAATATGAGCATGCATGGATCATTATATATAATGTCTTTGATTCTTTTAGGAAGATATCTGAAGAGGTAAAGCTGGGTCAAATAAAATTTAGTTTTTGGAGGAATCACTATACTGATTTGCATAGTTGCTGTGATATAGGAGATTAAGGCATGGCAAAAATGGCTGGAGTAGATAAGACCTCGTTAATTATATGACCCCAGAAAACATGAGCAGAACAGTTCCAAAGACCTGCATCTGTACTTCTCTCCAGAAGGGTTTCCATAGGGTGGATTGGACCCTATGTCATCCTGAGGCATGGAATCCCAGCACCACCTCTTAGGATCTGTATGTAGAAGTTCTTACAGGTTTCCTTGAAATGTGGATAGACTAAAAGACACAGATACCACAACTTGGTATTGTGACTTTACTTACAGAAGCCCACTGTGCTTTCTCCAGGGTATCCTTTTATTTTTTTATTTTTCTTTTACTCAGCCCAAACTAGCTCTGTAGAGTCAGTTTCTCCCTCTTTCACTTTTATTTTTTCAAATAAACTTGGCCACTGCTTGTTTCTCTTCAAGTCTTTGTTCAAGATGAGAAGGACCTGGAATCCAACTCCAGAACCTAGTAACATTTAATTGATGAGCCACTTTTAGAAAGGGCAACTTGATACATTTGTACTAGTTTACATTCCTACCCACAATGTAGAAAGGTTCCTTTTTCCCCACAACCTCACCAGCATTTCTTGTTTTTGTTAGTGATAACCCATTTTTCCTGGGGTAAGATGTAGTATCTCAGTACAGTGTATTATTTGGATTTGTGTTTCTCTAAAGGTCAAAAGGTTGATTTTTTTTTTTTTTTTTTTGGTACTGAGGATCAAACTCAGGACCTTGTGCTTGAGAGGCAGGCAGTGGTATCACTGAGCTAAATAAATTCCCAGCCCTGAACATTTTTTCATGTATTTATTGGCCATTTGTAGTTCTCTTCCTGAGAAGTGTCTATTCATTTTAATTGTATATTTTTTATTTGTTGGGGGTTTAATTTTTTTGAGTTCTTTATATATTCTAGGTATTAATCCTTTAAGGAGTAATAAAAAATTTTTCGCCATTCTGTAGATTGCCTCTTCACTGTTGTTTCTTTTGTTATATAAAAGTTTTTTTTTAATTTAATCCCATTTGTTGATTCCTTGTGTTATTTCTTGTGCAATTGAGGTTCTGTTCAGAAAGTCCTTGCCTATGCCCATGTCTTTCAGAGTTTTATCTACTTTTATCTTTCAGAAGATTTGGTTTTTCTCGTTTAATACCTATGAAAATTGACTCATTTTGAATTTTTTTGTTGTTGTTTTGGTACCCAGAATCAAACTCAGGACCTTGCGCTTTTGAGGAAGGGTTGGGTCCACTGTGCTAAATCTCTGACTCCCCCTTTTGTTTTTTAATACAAGATGAGAAACACAGCTCTAAATTGAGTCTTCTACATGTAGATGATCAGTTTTCCCAGCACCATTTTTTAAAGAAACTATTTTTTCTCCAGGCTATATTTTTGGAGTCAAAGGAGTGGTAGCTGAACATGTCTGAGGTTGTTCCTGTATCTTCTAGTCTCTTCCACTAATAGTATATTCTGCTTTTTTGTGACAGTACCATTGTTTTGTTTTTATTACTGTAGCTTTGTTATATAACTTGAGGTCCAAGGTTGTTTTTGCTATTCTAGGTCTCTTCTGGATCTGTATAATTATTTTTTTTGTAAAGACTGCTGTTGATATTTTTATTAGGACTGCATTAAATCTATGTATCAGTTTTGGGAATATGGCCTTTAAAACAATATTTATTCTGCCTATCCAGGAACAGGGGATGTCTTTCAATTTTCTGATAACCTCTTATCTTTTTTTCAATATACTGTAGTTTTCATTATAGAGGTGTTAACTTTCTTGGTTAGGCTAATTCCTAAGTAGCATTTGTTTAATGCAATTATTTCCCATTTAACAATGGGATTTTGTTTTTTAATGGGATTGTTTACTATGAATGGGACTGTTTTCCTGATTTCTTTCTTGGTGGGTATATTTTTGATGCACATGAATGTTATTGATTTTTTAATATTTATTTTGTATCTGCTACTTTACTGAATTTCTTTATTAATTTTAGGAGTCCTCTGCTGGAATTGTTTTGGGTCTTCTATATAAAGGATCATGTCATCTGTGACAAGGATAGTTTGACCTCTTCCTTTCCTAAATTATCTTTTTTTTTCAGTATCTTCTTTTTTTGCTTTTTTTTTCTCTCATTGAGTTTATTGGTACATTTTAGGTATACAGTACAGTTACATTCATTATTGGGATCTTGTACCTTTACATGACAGGTCTTGGTTCTCATTTTTTCCCCCTTGTCGCTGCCCTCCCTTCATCCTCTCCTCCCCTCCCCATCTACAAACACTTTATTTCCATTTTTTCATTTTCTCATATATTTTTTCCTTTATTACTTTCCCCCTACCTTTCCTACTTCCCCTACACCTTTAGCCCTTTTCTTCTCATTTCACAATGTCAGTAATCTCATTAGGATCTTATGTACTATTACAGTTTATACACACCAGAGAAACTATTCGGTATTTACACATGTGTGACTTATTTATTTCACTTAGGAATATATCCTCAATATGTATCCATTTTCCTATGAATGAGTCTAATTTCTCATTCTTTATGGCTGAGTAGTATTCCATTTTATAGAAAAACCACATCATCTTTATCCAATCTCCAACTGATGGGCAAATGGGCTGTTTCCAAGTTTCAGCTATTACAAACTGTGCTGATTCAATGCAATGCCAATTTAAATTCCAACACTGTATTTCACAGAACTAGAAAAAAAGAATCCAAAAGTTCATTTGGAACTATGAGAGACCTAGAATAGCAAAAGCCATCCTAGGCAACAGACACATGGCAGTGGGTATAACAATTCCCAATTTGAAACTATACTGTTGAAAGCCACTGTGATAAAAATAGCATGGTACTGGCAAAGAAACAGACCTGAGGATCAGTGGAACAGATTGGAAGACACAAAAACAACTCCAGATGTACTCAGCTACCTCATCTTTGACAAAGGAGCTGACCGTCCCCACTGGAGGAAGGATAGCCCTTTAATAAATGGTGTTGGAAAAGCTGCATCTCAACCTGCCAAAGATTAAAACTACACCCTTATCTTTCACCATGCACTAAACTAAAATCCAAGTAGATTAAAGATCTAAATATTAAAACAGAAACACTAAAAAATTGCTGGAAGATAAGTTAGGCAGAACTCTTAAAGACACTGGCATAGGAAAAGACTTTATGAAAAAATCCTTCCTATGTTATCTTTTCTTTCTATTCCCTAATTGCTATGGTTAAAGTTTTAGGTAGTATAAGTTGAACAGGAGTAGTGAGACTGGACACCTTCATCTTGTCCCTGATATATGTTATACTTCTATATTACTTGAAATGTTTTAAAGCTCATGCATATTGTAGGACTTACCAGTACTTCATTCTTTTTATGGCCCAATTCCATTGTAAAGATGTGTGGTATGCTATTTATGCACTCATTAATTGATGGACATTTGAGTTGTTTCTACTTTTTGGCTATTATAAATAATGCTATTATGCTGGGTGTGGTGGTGCATGCCTCTAATACCAGCACTTGGGTGGCTGAGGCAGGAGACTACCTCAAGTTTGGTGCCAGCCTGAGCTACAAAGTGAATTCAAGGTCAGCCTGAACTATACATAGAGACCCTATCTGAAATTCTCTTCTTCCCCAAAATGATGTTATGAATACTCATGTACAAGTTTTTGCGTGCACATGTTTCAAGTTTCTTGGGTACTGACAAGAATGGAACTGTTGGATCACATAGTAACTTTATTTTGAGGTATCCCTCTACTTTTGAAAAAAAAATCAAGTTTTTATTAACCAATTTCTAACTGTTTTGGAATGTAGAATTAAAAATCCAGAATCCATCTCATAGAAGATAAGTTTGCTTTAATACTTATAAAAATTAAGAATCTTCTAAATTAGAAAAACTCAAAGCAACTAACATACTATTTGGGTCTATTTTTCTCAACCATAAGCTTTTGCCTTTATCCTTTAGCCCATTTTTGTGCAGCAATCCATTTTTGGAATGCCCATGACCATGGAACACAGCAGAAATTTTTCTCTTCAAATTCTTGTTCACTTAAATTTTTCTAGGTAACATTACTTTCATACAAAAATTCAGAAAACTGTACTCTTCTGCATATGCACTTCAGCTATTTTTACAAGTAGTTTTACAAATACTAATAGTATGTTCCTTATCAATAAAATTAACATTTCAATTGAGAAGTTATTACCTGAATTAGATTTTTTTTTGGCCTTAAAATTATTACAAAACCTGCATAATGTCTTGGGTATGTATGTACTGTGTCCAAAGGGGAAAACTCCCACAAATAACATTATCATATTTGTTTTGTTTTAAAGATATATTTGTATTATGGGAATATAAAGCTTACCTTAACTCCCGCACTTCCATTAGGCATCTTTTGCAGCTCATAGGGAAGCCTGATTCTTTCTGTCTGCACAACAGGATCATCAAATGATCTCCCATGAAGCTTTTTGAAGCCATGAATTGTATTTCTTACATTTGTGACTATCTGTTGGCAGTAAGCACATATTTATCAATTATTTAATGAATATAAAATACTATTTTAATACTTATAGTCAGCAAGTCCCCTTACCCTATAGATCCAAGTTCAGAAATTATAACCAGTTTTCTGATTTCCTAATGATAGTAAAGTGATACAATGAGAATATATACATCTTTAAGTATTACCTCTCATATTCTTTTCTTATCCTAGGGATTAATATATTGTCTTCAAAAGAGAACACAAAACCTCAAAATTTTTTCAAATAACATGAATGTCTGTCTACAACTCCTCTTTGTTTTTCTCAACACTTCTGTTTCAATGTACTATATCTTGATTTCTTATTTCTTTCCTTTTTATTTATTTGTTTTTGAGACAGAGGCTTGCTGTGTATTCCAGACTGGGCCTCCTCCTGCCTTAGCCTCCCAAGTGCTGGACTATAGGCATGCACCACCATGACTGGGAATTTATTTCTTCTATTTTCATGTCTGTGGTTTTTTTTATTGTTGTTTGTTTTTGTTTTTGGTACCCAGGATTAAACTCAGGCCCTTGAGCTTGCAAGGCAGGCAGTGAAACCACTGAGCTAAATCCCTGGCCCTCATGTCTGTGTTTTTATTCAACCTAAATAAAAACCTTTGTTTTATTGGCAAATATTTTATTCTTCTTGATATCTAATTCTTTGTGAAAATTTATCATGTACCAGCCATTGAAGAAACATGTTTCTAGGCTTGTATATTAAAAACCATTCCATGTAGCATGGTGCTAAGTGAAAGAGGCTTATTTTGTTAATGGCTTGTATTTTGGCAAAATAATTTGTTTAACTAGAACATGTAGTTCAAGCTACATAGTACTGTATATTGTGACCCAGTAACTGCCCTTGCTGGGGCGATTGAGACAGTGTCTCACTATATAATTGAGACTGACCTGGAACTCATTATACAGCCCAGGCTGGGCTTGAACTCACAGCGATCCTCCTGCCTCAGCCTGCCACGTGCTGGGATTACAGGCATGCACCACCACACCTGGCTTGTTGATCTTCAATTATGATATGAAAATTACTAGACTGCTCCATAACTATGTTGGTTTATATACTTCTAAGAAAAATGACCTATGGTTTGCTTTTCATTTTCTATTTTAATTTTTTCGAGGCAGGCTGTAACTGTGTAGTCCAGGTTAGCACAGAATTTACTATGTAGCCCAGACTGGGCTTGAACTTGCAAGAATCCTCCTGCCTTAGCTTCCTGAGTGCTAGGACTACAGGTATGCACCATGACCAGCACCACTGCTTTCTTTACAGAGTCCAATTATCTATGATATACTTACAAGATCTGCTAGAATATGAGATGCAAACTTAAGTGAACCATTTTAGCCCAAACTCATTATTTATGTATAATATCAAAGTAGAAGATAAATACATTTTTTCATATATATGACAATTATAAAAAACAACCTTGATAAAAACATAAGCAAAAATTTCTGAATAAATGAATCAATTAGTCTTACCAAGTTATAAGGAAAAAGGCCCTATTAAAATTATTTCAAAAGAAAGAAGATCCAGATATATATGAAACAAAAGAAGTAATTAAGTGCTTTTAGTTCAGTAAAACAAGTCCTGATATAGCAAATGTTAAAAGTTAGTGTTCTAGTGGGGCATGGTGATTCAAGCCTATAATCCTAGCACTCAGGCGGCTGAAGCAGGAGGATCACTGCGAGTTCAATGAACTGCATAGTGAGACTTTGTCTCAAAACACAAAAGCAAAAACAAAAATAAAAATTAGTATTCTATTCATAAGCCTTTCAGAAGTCTACATACTTACCTACACAGGCTCCATAAAAAAGTAGTAGCAACCGCAATAGGCAACCCCAGAAATGTACTCCTCTATTTTCCCACCATCTTTTACAAAGGCACTGGTTACTTGTCATTGAAATGTATGTTCAAGAGACATTATCCCTCATAGAAAAGTGACAACATAGGAAAAATTAATGGTAACTTTGTTAGCATGATTCAGTTAATTTTGCTTCTAAGTCAAAACTTCCACATTAACAATTTACCTGGCTTTTAGCTGCATTTCCAATGGCTCGAGTTCTTGAGCCCAAAGATATACAGGCCCTAAATAAGGGAAAAACAAAAATACTGTTTGTTTCCATGGCATCTTTATATTAATGTACTATTATTTTGCTTCTTATTAAAATACATTTAAAAGGCTTAATGCAATCATGTTATTTTAAAAATATGGAGATAAAAATATACATAGTTTAATTAAATTTTTCCTAAATAATGGGATAGTAGCCAGAATAAGTGTTAGAATTTTTTTTAAAGTGTTGCTCCCCCAAATTGTTTTTCCAATTCTATTGGTCTATGATCTGTTAAAGGAATTATTGTATATAGTAAGGCAAGGCTGCTTGGATTTAAATCCTGTTTTTACCACCTTGACAGCCGAGTACAGAAATAATATAACCACTATTTGCTTCTTCAACTTCCCATCTGGAAGGTAGTGATGATAATACCTGCTCATAGTACTATGTGAGGATTAGTAAATATAGGTAAATGCTCTGAATAACTGGCATGTAATAAACATTATACAAATGATTTATTTTAATTGTTGCATTCAAATGTAACAAAGCAAGTATAGAATAACATTTTCATTAACTACCATTTCATTGTGTAATTCAAGAAAATGTTTCTGTGAGTGCAATTTTAATTATAGGGAAATATTTAACTAGCAAACATTTATAGGTATGATGTATATACAGTAAAAGATACAATAATACCAGTAAAAAATTTAGTTTATTAAGAAAACAACATAGAGAATATATAGTATTAAGAATATTAGCAAAAGGTAGAATAGAATAGCCACTTCCAGATAACAGGGCTTCAGAAAAGCAAGAAGTAGTGATTTCTGAATTAATACAAGAAAGGGGATAAAGTTTTAAAATATGTATCCATGTTCTGGAAAGGGACATTATTGATATATAGATATTGCTATACTAATCTGTCCCCCAAAGGTTTATGTGCAGGAAACTTGGTTCCTGACTTAATAACACTAAGGTGGTAAAACTTTTAAGAGGTAGGGCCCGGAGTGAGATGATTAGGTACATTTTCGGGCAGTATCCTCAGAAGGGATTAATACCCATTTCAAGAAAGTAGGTTAGGTATCATGTGACTGGATTAGTTTCCAAAGAACAATTTGTTATAACGTGAGACTGGACCATGTGCTTTTCCCCTTTTGCATATGGCTGGTTTCCTTTCTACTTCTCTGCTGTTTTTATACAGCTACCAGACACCCTTGCCAGAACCTGTACACACAGTTTGGACCCTCCGGCTACCACTGCTGTGAGCCAAATAAACCTCTACTATATGTTACCCAGTCTCAAGTATTGTGATATAGTGACACAAAACAAAGGTGAAATTCTGTTCTCAATAGCAAAGCCAACGCAATCCTCTTGAAGACTAAGAGCATAAAATCCCTCTGCAAAAACTGTCCAATTGTGCTCTGTCTCACAAGGTACTTAAGTCTTCCTGACAACCAATAAAGCTGTCTCATCTTTAGCTGTTTCACCCTATAAATTCAATCCAGGCAAACTAGCCTGCTTGCCATTTCTAGATGATGTCCACCACATTTGTATCTAAAGACCCTTGTACAGGCTGTTCTCTCTTTCTGAATACTCTGAGTAAATCTATCTATATGGCTGTGCTCTCTCTGTTCAAATGATAGTATATCAGAGACATTTTTTCTGGAAATCCTATATAAACAACATTCTTGCTCCTCCCCCAACACTGATAGCTCATCATTTACCCAACTTTTCTCTATACAACATTATCACCATCTGATATAATGTATTAATTGTTTCTCCACACTAGAATATGAATTCCATGAGGTAGATATAATGTATGCCCCCTGCCTTGGTCTGTACTATCTAGTATGGTAGCCACTACTCATATTTGGCTAATAAAGTTAAATTAACTAAAATGAAAAATTCAGTTCCTCAGAATTATTCTTTTCTATTTCTTTTCTTTTTTTTTTGGTGCTGTGCCACTGAGCTAAATCCTTGGCTCCTCAGAACTATTCTGACTCAAGTGCTTAATACACACATGTAGCCAGTGGGTATACAGAAACCATACATAAACTAGATATACAGAATAGAAAGCTCTACTGAAAAAGCACTGGTCCAGATCTTTGTCCGGTACATAATGGTACTTACTGAGTGAACGGAATGATAGATAGCTCCTCAGGCTAATGTAATCCCTAGTGCTGGGATTGCAAGTGTGTGCCATAGATGCAATATTTTAAAAGCTGATCAGTCATAGTACATACAATATTGAACAATAAGATTAAGCTACATTTAATTATAATATTAAATGAAACATATTAAAATTATAATAAACTATAATTATATTTAAAAAAACTGATCTTACATACAATTCACCCAATTCAAACACAAATATCAATACATAATAATTTAGTTCTTTTGATTATGACCGCCTAGGACCAAGAGTTTTCAAACTACCACCTACTACCTATTTTTGTTAAGTTTTATCAGAACACAACTCTCATCACTAATTTTTATTATGACCATATATTAAAAAGACTATTGGGCCGGGGATTTAGCTCAGTGGTGCTGCTGCATGACTTGCAAGCATAAAGTCCAGAGTTCTATCCCCGGTACCAAAAAAAAAAAAAAAAAGACTATTAATACTTTACTAAACCTTTTAAACTCATAATAGATAATTTGTAAGTTATAATTCCTTCTAGGAACTTTTCATTCACAAGAGCAAGGGCATGACTCAAGAATTCTTTTTTTTTGTTGTGTGTGGCTAACATTTATACTAAAATACTTTTTTTTTTTTTTTTGAGACAGTCTTGCTATGTAGTTCAGGTTGGCCTTGAACTGTGTGGCCCAGCTGACCTCAAGCTCATGGCGATCCTCCTGCCTCAGCCTTTATACTAAAATACTTTTTAAAATAGTCTTAGCTATATAGCTCTGCTACATTTTGAGCCATCTACCCTTTCATTAACTTAATCAAATTTGGTTAAATAAAAAAAGGCATTCACCAAATTTTTCTTGTATAGTTTTTCAACAGCAAAATAATGTCTGCCTATAATAGCTTAGCTATCAATGGAATACTGTATAGCTATTAAAAAGAATGAAGAAGTACACCATATACTGTATGCAAGATTGAGATATTCAAAGTATTGAGATAAATAAAAGCAAATTGCAAAATGTGTAATATAATGGTACTTTTGTTAAAAAGAGAAATATCCCAGTTATGTACATATAATCATCTAATTTAGAAACATACACACTAAACTTAAGGAAGTGTAGTTAGGAAGGGACAAAGAGAAAGACTTAACTCTCTATTATCCTGCTTTGAAGATATTTAAAATTAACTTAAACTTACAGAAAAACATACAAACCACACTCATACAGTAAAAATAATATTCAACAGAAAGATATAAAAGCCTCCTTTTCCCCTAAAACCACCATCACCATCATCATAAAAACTTCTACCAGAAATCTATAGCCTCTGGAGTTCAACACTTTCTAATCTAGTTTATTTTTAAACACACTAAACTGTTTTCTATTTTATGAATTGAAGAAGTAGTTCACATCTGAGACACAGTGTTTAAACAAAGTTTCCCCATATTTCTAGATTATCCACACACTTGAAAATAAACAGGGTAAAAGTACAAGACAGTAAACTAGAGAACTAAATATCAAGTCCAATATAGAATTCTGATGATAAAACTAACAATATACTTAGCAATAATCTTTGAGCTAGTTGTTCCAATTTTAAAAATCCATATTCCTTATTGTAAAATATATTCATACAAACGAAAACCATTATGTGTTGTATATTAAACACATACCCTACAAAATTCTACCTCCAAGAAAAATCTGTTTTTTTTGTTTGTTTTGTTTTTGTTTTTGTTTTTTTTTTTTTTTTTTTTTTTTTTTTTTTTTTTTTTTTTTTGGTACCAGGGATCGAACTCCAGTGTTTGAGCTTGTGAGGCCCGCGGCGGCACCACTGAGCTAAATCCCGCCCCAAAATATCCGTTGTTTATAGTCTTCTACACTGCTTTATTCCACACATTTATACTTACATTTATGTATTTTTATGACCTTTCAAAAATTTTTACATGCCCTTAAAAATAACTTACAAACACTATTAAAACATTTTAAAACAAGATCTTAGAAACTACCCCAAATTAAATTAAATGTTTTATGGCAGAGCAAAAATGTTTCTCTATACAATAACTGTCAGCCAAGTAATCTGTTCAACTACTAATATTCCTATCAACCTAGTACATTCACATTATCCTTATTCCAATGGCTAATGGAAAGATATTTTGGTTCTGTAGTCAGAAAGTATTGAAATGGACTCTCTCATTACTTATGCAGTTCCTAGCTAAGTTACTTTTATACTTTATGCTTCTTAGAGGTAAAAAGATAGATGGTATGACTAAACTCAGGTTCAAGTTCAAGCATAGTGCTTAACACATGGCAATCATTAGTATTAACAGTTATAGCTGACCAGATGCTTTAACTTGATGTTGAATGAGGATTCTTATCTGTAGTTTGATTCCCCATGTGTGAAACTAATCACCTTGATATTGAGACTGAAATAGAAATTCAAATTCCCATATCATTTATACACTTAATTGAATAATATGAACATATCTAAGGCCTTAAAAATGTGTCTGGTAACTATACTTCTAAGAATTTAGATGAATAAATTAAGGACTGAAAATTTATTTTAAAAGGTACTACCTCCAGCATTTGCAAAAATAAAAACATGAATGACTAACAGAGGATGGATTAAATTTAATGATTATACAGAAACATTAAAACTTACATAATAGAAATACATTATCAAACACAATAGTATAAAGTATGTCTTTTCTTTAAAACAAACACAACCATCTTGAAGTTATATTTTTAGGTAGGGAAATTATAATTTTTATCTTCTTTTTATATACCTATACTTTTCAATAATAATACATTATTTAATAATTTTTAAATAAAAATTGCAGAAGGATTATCTTTGTCTCTTCATGCATAATGTTAACTTGTTTCTCTTCAATTTATGTAGGAAATGAGTCTACTACAAGCACTCTATTTTGTTTTTTGGCACTACTGTGCTAGGTACTGACCCAGGGGCATTGTATTACTGAGCTACACCCTCAATCTCTTTTATTTTGAGACATGGTCTCACTAAATTGCCAAAGCTAGCCTGCAACTTGCAATTCTCCCGCCTCGACCTCCTGAGTAGCAGGGATTACAGGTGTGTGCACCATGTGGCACTCAGATTGGATCTCAAAGGCCCATGTGTTGAGGGCTTGGTCTTCATACTGGTGCTCTGGGGAGGCAGCAGAACCTTTAGGAAAAAGGTGGGGTCAAGTGGAAGGAAATTAGGCCATCTGTGGGTGTCTTAGTTACTTTTCTCATTGCTGAGACAAAATACCCACCACCCAAAGTTAAAGGAGTAAAAGTTTATTTAGTTCACAGTCTGTAGAGGTTTCAGTCCATAATCACCTGGCTCCAAGACAGGGTGGCACATGGCAGAGGGGCAACAGTTCATGGTGGTGAAAGACAGCAAAAGCAACAAAAAGTCTTTCTGCTCCTTTTATTTTGTTCAGACTACTTAGGGTGGGTAGCACTCATACCCTTAATATTAGTACCCTTATGAAATACTGTGATGCATGACAGCAAAGATTCTATAATAGTAGGGCTTTTATTATAAAGGACACACTTCACAAATTAATAAATATACTGGGACTAGGAAGAGCAATGTCTCCCCTCGGTAAGTTAAGCCTTACTAAATAAACAGTATAAGAGCACTACCAGACTTCTATCAAGTGTCTGTGTTTAGTAATAATAAAAGATATATTTCTGACATAAATGAAAGTGTACAGTCACAGAGAAATCAAATTTGCAGATGTCAAATTAAGTGAGAAAATGATCCTTTGACCTCAGACCTCCTTTGTAGTTTAGATTTGGCTCACTGAATCTAAATATTGTATTAATATTAGCTATCAAACACATAAACCAGAAATATTACATTAAATCTCAATCACACAGAAGAAGCCAATCGTAATGGAAATTTCTGCAAGTCTCTAGCAGTCTAATTTTTAAAGAACTCTTTCCTGTAAGATCTACCAGGCTCAGTAAAGAGTCACCTACTCACTACTGAAGAGATTTCCAAGCATGGAAATGCAATATGTTTCTTATAATCCTGGCTTCTGACATGAAAGAATGAAAGAATAAAGCTTTAAAGGACTGGGAGAATGTCCACCTGATATTTCACTTTTTTCCTGTAGTTTCAATCACTGAAGTTATATTGTCTCCATTATTTTCTACTTTGCTGAAAGAGTTTAATTTCCTATTTTTTTTGCTGGTAAAAGCTGTATTTGTTGTGACATAAAATCATACAGAGATGAATTCATAAGTAGTTTGTAATCACTGTTTCAGCCACTTATTGTGTATAAAAGCATCAGAAAAAGATTTAAAAACAAGAAAAAAAAAGTTCAAACAGTACTGTGAGGATTACCTGACCTATGTCCACATTAGAGAATGTAAACACCCAAAATTTCAATAGAAGACATGTAGATGAGTAAATATAGGAAAAAGTGGTATAAAACATTCTGGAATATTCTTGGAAAGAAATCAAAGCACAGCCTGCATCAGGTAAGCTAATCTTCACCAAACTGCTATGTATTTTAACTACTCATAGAATTTTAGTAATTAGGGCATTTAAAGATCATTTAACATTGATCCTAGTTAACACTGGACCATTCAGAAGAGTCAAATCTATTACTTTTCATAAAAAGCAATGCATGGAAGTCTCCTCATAAAATTACATGTAACAGGAGCTTACAATGGAATACTTATATTATTTTTTCATATTACTTAGTCACATTTTCTTTGCCAACAAACATCCCAGAGCAGAGGAGCAAGGGAACATGTGGCAACATGTGTTTCTATGTCATAATGCCATTCTTAAGTCTTCCATCAAGTGTTCATAACAGCAGCACTTCACAATCATGTTCATACAGGATAGTCACCTCTGACTCTCCAATGATTTAGTCTAGAAATATTCTTTGGCTTGTAGGATTTAACCCACTAATTTCCATTAATTGACTTACATGACCAATACATAAGACCAAATAACTCCCATTTGAGTCTTTCCCTATGAGTACACTATTAACCTTCGCCCTTGCAAAATGGTCAGATGATCTAATTTCTCAAGGCGGGGGGTGGGGTGGGGGGATCGGGGCCAGATGAACCTGCAATTCATCTTCTCAAGTGTGCAGTCTAAGCTCTCCTTACTTGTTTGAGGGAAAGCTGTCACCTAGGAGACGCGGGCAGGAGGAAGGGCAGAATGGAGAGCGGAGGACAATCCCGAGCGAGCCCCCACAGGCACCCAGGGCCCTTCCTTCCTGCTCCGACGCCGCCAAGGCAGCCCCACGCCAGCCCCTCCACGCAACTTGCGGCGGGGTCGAAGACGGCGTCACGGAAAGGAGAAGAGCCAGCCAGGGAGTCCCTCGTCCTGGCGAGAAGTCCGACTGCACCTGGGCCCACAATCTGCGGTGGCCGGGGATGTGCCCTGGGGCTGCACCTGTCAGTCGGGGCTCGCGCCCGGAGGGGCACACAGGGAACCTGCAGACAAAGCAGACCTAAAGACAGGAGAAGATGTGTCTTATGGCTGGGTGACGAGCAAAGGGGCACTTACGGGGTACACCTGTCGCTGTACTCGTTGGCGATGGTCTCAATGCCGCCACTCCTTGCTACAGCGATGTAGCAGTTGAGAAAGCCGAGATCAATGCCAACCACAGACATCCCGCCTTCTGATGATGGTCGGGCTGCCGGCGCTGAAGCCTCGGGTGCAGGGACCACGTCCTCTGGTGGGTCGTTCCTGCTGGGACCGCGACTCCTACGAGAATCAGAGACAGGACTCCGGGTCGCAAACTCTGAAAATAGGGCAGGGCGTCAGGAAACCGCGGAGGGAGTAGACGCCAGCAGCCACTGCCTCAGCTGCGTCCGGCCGCAGGGGTCTCTTCACTGCGGCTCGGACGCCTCCAACCGGCAGTTACTGGGAGCTGCGCCTGCGCGCTCGGCCGCCTGGGAGGATCGCGAGCCCTCGCTCGGCGGTGGAGGATGCTCCCAGCCTCGACTTCCGCCACTTTCGTCTGCACTCGGGCAATGGCTGCCGAAAAGGCTGCGGGTTCGAGAAAGATCTGGAAAGCGGAGCCAAACAGGGGCGGATGGGAGGGGAGAGGAGGCGGGGAGGGGAGAGGAGGCGGGGCGGGCCGGCGGGGAGGCGGAGCTGGCTCGCCTACGGCT